CCTTGGCTGCATATTAGAATCCCATGGCGAGTCTTTCACAAAATATTGATGCCAGGCAATATCCACCAGGATGTATAGTTTAATTAGTGTCAGCATGAAAATATTCTCCCACGTAGTTTTCTAATCTGTAACCAGGGTTGAAAACTACTGCAATAACAATTTCAGCTCTGGTCTTTGGATATATTTTTTTCTGCTTCAAAACACCTGTGGATTCCCACAAAACTTCTTCTGTCACAGTGACTCACTTTGACATTGATTCACGAGATAGAATCTTGGGCTGGAATAGAGAAATAGAGAAACTGGAGAGAAGTACAGGAATGACATACATAGCTGGAACAAACTCCATGAGCAGAGTAATGTTAAGGTATTTAATGACCAATATAGCATGGGCCCTGAGCTATCAGAACAGAGGCTACTTAATACCGGGTCTGTTTGTTGATATGCCCCTAACTTTGAGAATCTCAGTATGAAGACGTTGGCACCTGCTGATTCTTTTACACTGTGAATTTGTACTACTGCTAGCAGTCTCCTAGCAAACACCCAAGTCAGAGGAGGAAAGGAGGCAGTTAAGAGAATTTGGGGACCAAGGGTGCAGCATGTGTGACTGACTGTCTAGTTGGGGAGAGAAGGGTTAAAAATAGAGCCATACTAGAGAGAAGGCTAATAGGTTTGGGATAAAACACCAGATGTTACCTACTTCCCAGGGTTGCCTTGCTTCAGCCATATTCTTGGGTGTTCAGATGTTTTATAAACATAGTGCCCTTTGTAAGAATTCTAGAGATGAACTATAAAAAACTTGGAGTTTTTTTAAAGGCCTTCTAATGAGAACCAATGGTTCTCAATGAATTCCCACAGGTCATATAACAACCAAACCATAAATTGTAGAGCTTGAGACTGAAGCAAGGGGTCACCATGATATTGTGCATCATTAAACTGGTGACCTTCTACTTATCTCTTGGTGGCCCAGGGAGTCAGGGTGGGGGGAGCTTTCTCCTGCAGATTCAATCATTTCTGTTCCCTGAGAGCACAAGAATTTCCAGGGGAAAGAGGAGATGCTTTTTTTCCAACTGTTCCCTGTTCCTCCAACCCCATCTTGGCTTCAATCAGCATTTTATTTTATTTTTTTTTATTTTTTATTCTCCTGCAACCTTCCCTCTGACAATCCTGGTCTGTTTGTATAAGGCAAAAGTTGAAAATGTAACTTGGTGTATAATTGAAAATTCATCCTTAAAAATTGGCGTGTAATTGTCCTCTGACATGGGAAATTTGCCCTGTTCCACATTAGTCAAAGATGTTCTTTGACGTTAGTCCACCTTTGACTAATTTCAAGTTGATCTGGAAAAGTGATGAGAATTGAAATAGGCATGTTTTTGCAGATATTGAGCATGTTCAAGACCTTAAGATAAGAAATCTAAAAATCAATTTATGCCATGTGCCTTTAGATACATTTCTAAGTTATAGTGATTTATGAAAACATTTGCCATATACCTTCTCCCTACTTTCTCTACAAATGCTTAACTGCTGGTGGACAAGATTTTCTTTGACAACAATGAAGCATTACATTGCCGAGCTGTTACTTATGTGATATTTGAGGTCAAGAGGATATTTGATCCCACCATCACTACCACCTTCAAAGACAAGACGAGTTAATCTTATTTCCTAGAAGTTCACTAGTAAGTGAAAAATGTCCCAGTGGTGAAGATAGACTGTTAGTTAAAGGTCATTCCAGCTTTATTGTGGAACACCCTTCATTCCTGGTTCAGAATCAGTGTTTAATGTTTGTAGAAATGATTAATGATAGGTTTTCATAGACAGCCTTGAGACTGTATTCCCAGCCCTGCTGAAACTGCATCCGTATTCATCTTTTATTCATTTTTAAAAATGTGTTTGTTGTTGTAGATCTGTGGCAGAATGGTTTCAGGTTAATTATACTTTCTGTCACATTACATCCTTGTCCAGTGAAAAGATCTTCTTTTGTTCTATTTGGTCACCATTCACCCATTTCATTTTCACATGTCTCACCCCCATTTATGCAGATGATATTCTTTATTATTTTATAGATTTTTTTCTGTTTTTAACCCTTTCCCCCACTAAGCACTATACATTTAAGATTTGCAATGCCCAATAGGACATCAACTGCATGATACAGTGTTCTCTTCCAAATAAGGGAAAATGAGCTGGCTGGGATTGGGAGCTCCTCCCCTCTCCCAGTTGGATGGGCTGTATCCAGCCTCAGGTCCCCCAAATTCTCTAGATGCTATGAGCATGAGCATACAGCTCCTTTAAATAGCCAGCACCCAAGCACAGGCTATTTTGTCCCTGCTTGCAAGGGCTCTCACTAGTCCTATAAAAACGGATAGGTTTCTCTCCTGGAGCATAGCTCAGGAGACATTTAGCTACCCTCTGGCCTGAGAACACCTTTCCATAGAATGCTGTGATAAAAGGCAACTGGGCATCCAATATCCTCCTGCAGCCCTTCTCCCTAGACCTTCTATTCTGACCATGTGAAGTTTCTATAGTGCACGACAAAGCCTTGCACTTAACAAAGAACTCCTTTGTTAAGTGTGTAGCCCTTTGCTTCTGCCTGCTGCATAATGCTCTGTGATGTACATCTAATGCTTACCTAATCTCTCCCAGTAATGGACATCCAATTTCTTGCCCCCACAAACTGTGTACAAAGACCATACCCCTGCCTTTTCATGAATCTTTGTGAAATTTCCCCTGGAGTAGAAGTGCTAGGTCACAGGAAATATATATATATATATATATATATATATATATGTAATTTGCCTGAGTAGTTCCAGATTGCTCTACTATGAAAACTTGCCTATCTGCACAAAGCTGATTGGCCTCAGGTGGACACCTGATCCAGGCTGAGTCAGTTGGATTCCCTCTGGAAATTTAGAGTCAGGAAAGGGAGTCTGCCTAATCATTTGACTTGGGGATCTGCAGTCTTGAGAGACAGGGGAGTGGCCTGTTTCTACGCACACGTAGAGTGATAGAGAAAGCCTTTCTACAAAGAAATGAGTGAAGTGAGCTGCGATGAGGTGAAGAGAGGAGAGACCACCAACCACAGAGTTGGGGAGATCTGTTACTGGTTGTCTTGATTCATTCTGGCTATCTAGTGCTGGGGTCCCATCCGTACTGAACTGAACTGTTTCCTCCCTTCTGAATTCCATAGTATGTTCTCGCACATTTCCCATTCCAAAGCAAGACTCAATGAATTTCCATTACTTGTGACCAAATGAGCTTTTAATATAAAAGGGATTAATCCTCCTGAAAATCAATAAGAAACCCAAATTTGATCTGAATATTTTACGAATTTTGCTGAAACCTGTGTTCTACAGGTTTTGACAAAGGAAATTTTGGTTTTGAAGAAATGCTGAGTTTTCCATTGATTTTCTCATGAGAAATGGGATTCTTCTATCAGATATAGGCAGTAAATACTCATTATTGAATTTCTATTAAAAGATTAAAATAAAAAAACCAATAATGTATATTAGAAAAATTTTATAGGACCAAGACCCTATAGAAATTAGACAGCAACTAGCAAATGTGAAGACAGCTGTTTTAATGTGTGACTTTCAAGTAACCTGGTTGGCATCATGTACAGAGTGCATATCTGGTGAACTGAACTTTTCCTATTTAAATCTTTTGTATCATAGTATATACATTGCCCTTCTGCCTTTGGCTGTAAATGTTAGCATAACCTTTAACATTGTAGGCTTTTCTTTCTCTTTTTTTTTTGAGATGAAGTCTCACTCCTGTCACACAGGCTGGAGTGCAGTGGTACAATCTCGGCTCACTGCAACCTCCGCCTCCTGGGTTCAAGTGATTCTCCTGCCTCAGCCTCCCACGTAGCTGGGATTACAGGTGTGTAACATTATGCCTGGCTAATTTTTGCATTTTTAGTAGAGACAGGGTTTTGCCATGTTGGCCAGGCTGGTGTTGAATTCCTGACCTCAGGTGATCCACCTGCCTCGTCCTCCCAAAGTGCTAGGATTACAGGCATGAGCCACTGGCCCAGCCCATTGTAAGCATTTCTTTAGTCAAGTGATTCTTCTCTAACCTGTCCTTTGACTAAAATGTTTGGATGGCTATACTCAGGTTTGGTTGGTCATTAGCTTTTCAAAACATCTTTTCATAGGGCTGGTTTAAAAAAATGTCTGATTGAGTTGTGTTGGGCCACATATATGGGAGTAGATGGATTTAGTATCATTGAAAATGGTTGCCTGACTAAGAAATATATGGAGGCAGTGAAAATAAATTCTTGATGGCAGTACATAAAAATATGGTTGATAAAATGCCAAGATACCTTCTCTTCTTCTGGGTAGCAACAACACTAAAGGTAAACACTGCTGTTTCTATAGTTTTATGAAGAAAATGGTTTTCCTCATTCTACTTCACTGGGACTACCCCCTTCACCCTCCTTTATATCCTGTCTCAGGGTTGGTCCATCTTCTGTGTAGTCGTTGCCCAATAATTTTATCTTTTCTTTCCTCCCATTGTATTTTTCTTGGTTCATAGCCCATCTGTTGTGAATCTCAGATAAAATGTAGTAAAAATTCAGATTTATGGCTAGGGAAAATCAGAATCAGGTGGTTTGCAGTTAAAGCGAAACAGATTCGTAACGGCAAAAATCTAGCAAAATCACTTGTGAAACTAGAATATATCAAGGCCTCTTTCTAGAAAAATAAGAAAGATAAGTAAAAATGACCGGGTGCTTTCATTTGAACATTTCTACGTGGTCAATGCATAGATCAGAAGAAAACAATTGAGGTGGAAGGGAAGCAGTGGCCAAAGGCCTATGAGTTTACCAAAAAGAAACCTTCCCCCCAACCCCAGTTTGTAAGCTCTTGCTTTTCCCAGGAAGATAAAAGGCAGAATTTCAAAGCCACATTTTTTTTTTTGGTCCCAGGAAATGTTTTTGTGTTCATATTATTGTTACAAAGTTAAACTTTTTTCTCTTATTTGAACAAATGAATCGCTGGATTATGCCACATGTTGAAGTTGTTAACCTCTTTTAGTAATTTAAACTTTATGAATCAGAATAAGTGAATGAGGGCATTCCAGTCCTTGGCTTCCAGGTTACAGGACAGTCCCTCTCACTGAACTTGGACTTGTATGGATACTCTCCTTCCTGTGAACAGAACTTGCCTTTTGAAATCAGATGACTTGTGGGAGAGAATGTGGTGGTCATCTGTTGGCTGTCAAGCCTTTCTTTCTCTGGGAGTTGCTTTTAAAATAGGTGGGATCTGGGGGGAGTAACTTGTTGGAACAGAAAGCTGCAAAAAAGTGAAGCTTGGTCCACAACCTAGGGTTTAAAAGAAATTTGAAAATTTCATTGCATGCTCTACAACTCCTTTTTAATAACCCCTAGCATAATTCACACATTTTTCTACCTGCTTGGCCCCTGTGGGGATTTTGTAATTCCTGGTTTAGAGGATAGACAAATGGCAGTCCAGACTATTCATTCATTCATCCATCCATCCATCCATCCGTCCATTAACAAGAGTTTACTTCGTGCCTTTTCTGTGCCAGGCACTGTGTTACATGTTGAAGATAAAACTGCAAGCATTATCAAGTCTCTGTTATCCAGGAATTTAGAGTTTGGTTCAAAAGATAAGCATTACTCTTAGCAATTCTACTGAGTGAGTGCATAATAAGAAACAATTAGAAATATACTTAAGTCCTGGAAAGGAATGAAACTGGCTCTAGACTTGGAGAAGGCATGTGATAAAAAGATTCTTCCCAGCAGAACAACTGAGCTAGGATCTTTAGAAGGAGCATGGGTTAATGGATGAGAGAAGGGTGTGAGAGGACACTGTAGACTATGGAGGCAGTGATCACAAGGCCATGTGACATCAAGGGCTTGGCAGGGCCCACAGGACAGTCAGAGGGCCAGTGCAGCTGAGCACATGGGGAACTGGCTCCATTCGAGGCAGATGAGCTACATGCACAGTAGGCATCTCTGCGAGGGCCTCACAGATTGATTAGGGCTTTTGCTCATTATACTAAGAGCCACGGGAAGTTATTGAAGGAACGTCAACAGAAGGCAGTGCTGTGACATGGTAGGTGTTTCACAAGGGACACTCTGGCTGTTAAGTGGAGAATGGAGGGGAATAGAGCAAGAAGGAAGCAGTGAGACAGGAGTAGGCTATCTCTAGGAGAGAATGGTGGCTTTGTCTAGTATGGTGACAGGGAGCTAGTACAGTGGTTGGTAATCAATTGATGGGAAATAACAATAGACAGTCCTAGGTGATGGTTAGGTGTAAGGTGAGGGAAAGACGAGTGCAGGCATCAAGAATGAAAGAATGATTCCAAGATTTTTGACTATGGAATAGGAGGGAAGGTAGTACATGTTGATGCGGTAGGCTATTATGGAGGGTGAACAGCCCTGCTGTATCTTAGTCACTAGTGTCTGGCAGCCTCCCTCTGTTTGTGTTTCATTTCCAAGTCAGTCTTCCCTGAGCTGCAATTTGAGAGATGATGTAATGCAGAGATTTTGGAAGGTGACCAGTAGCAAAAGGAACAACAAACTTTTACCAAACACTCACGTGCCAGGCAGTGAGTTAAGCACTGGGATTCCTGGAGTGAGGAAAAGGAGATCACGTTACTGCCCTCTAGGAGTGTCCAGTCTAATAGTGTAAACAAACAATAAATAATTATGATGACTTTGTTAACGATTTTTGCTTCTGTGATAGGTACCATGAGAGTATGGCTAAGTGAGCTGATCTGCTCTGGTGGGAGGGGGCAGGATCAAGGTAGGTGGAGAATTGCAGCTTAAGTGAAGACCCGAATGATTAGCTGGCAATAAGAAGAAAAACAAAACCTTCCAGAAAGAGGAAATAAACAGTTTTTAAGGTCTAAATGAATCAAAAATATGAAATGTTTAAAGAACTGGCAGAGATGTCCTTCTATCTGGTGAAAGTGGGGGATACAAGAGACAGTGACTTATGTCAGGAGTGGGGTATAGACAGGTTCTGGCAGATTGGCGCTCCTGGTTTCCACTTACTTGGCATCTGAAAGCTGTTTTTTGCCTCCTCTCCCCATTCCTTAGAACTCAAAGGAGACACGAGGAATTGAATTGGGAGGGGCTTGGCACTAACAAAGCAGAAATTGTCAAGGGAAGGGGGAAGAGGAGCTATCTACCAGTGAGAGCAAGGAGGGTGGTCTCTGGGAAGAGCTTTTGACTCCCTATTTCTGACTCAAGCCCTGATTCATCCCTTTTATTTTTTGCAATTAGCTTCTTGGTCTGCGATAATTTTATTTGATTACCCTTTAGTTCCCATTTGTTCCTGAGCTTATTTTGACCAGGGTTATAGAAAATGTACCATATGGTGACCAGCTTCTTCAAGTCACCCACAGAAGTGTTTTCTCTTGAGTACTTCCCTGGCTGCCTTCTCCAGATGATGTGGCTGTCATTCTTGTCCTGGATGAGAAAGGAGATTAAGATGGTTTATAAGAAATAAGATGTCACAGTGAAATAGTCTCAAGGCACCATGTACCTTGCCAGTTTTCTGTTCTAACATATATTATGTGGTATAAGATGCCCTATAATTCTTAATTTTTTGTTTAAAAAGTGTTCTCCAGTCTCTTTTCTTGGCTTTAACCTCTTTGACCCATCCAACAGAGTCCTCTTTTATTGTGTTTTAAGTTCTTGCTGTGGGCTACAAGAAAAATAGGCCTTATGAAGAGCTCTGTCTCATAGAATAATTTTCTTGAAAGGAAGAAAAGTGTCAGGGAGCATTTTAATCTTTCTCATTTTCTAGATACACTCAGCTGAACATTAATTTGAGGTACCTCTTTAGGAAGGAGATCATGCATGTCTTATCTCAGCGACTTTTCTGATAATTCGAGGCGTGTGCCTGTTCCCAGATTGAGAGTTTCTTCTCGGGCGGTTCTGGGGACAGCATGATTGGTTATATCTTGGAAATGAAATAATCTCCCACTTGTACAGTTTTGCTATCACAGGTTTTCAAGCAATTGCTCCTCTGTATTAATACAGAAAAACATAAATAGCTTTTAGGTTTGTTTTGCAACAGATTAGGCACCTTCAATCTTTTTCCTTGGTATGTGCACATGCACATGCCTGTGTGTGTGTGAGGAGGGGCAGCAGAGAAAACACATTGCCAAGGGAAGAGTGCACAGGACAGGGAATTCGAAATTCCAAATTAGAATCTTGGCTCTGTTTGTCTTCCGGCTATCCATGTAACCCTGAGCTAATCATCCCAATGCCCCAGATTCAATTTCTCCATGTGTAAAATAAAAAAAATTTACACAATAAAATAATGTAAAAATTATGGAAATAACAATAATAATAATAATTCCCACCTATCCTCATCAAAATGAGGTTTTGAAAATATGAACAAATGCTTTATGCATGAGAAGACAATTATTAGAATTACTACTTCTCTCTCTCTGGGTAGTCGATAATTCATTAGTCCCTTCATTACCAAAGATGGGGAGTGGCATGATCTGACTTGCTGGTGCAGCATGGCCTGGAGGAGAGCTCAACTGGAGGTGGGGGCGCAGAACTATGGTGGCTGTAGTTGTCCAGGAAAGAAAGAGCACAGTGGCAACAGAGAGGCTGGAAAGAAGTGGAGGAATGGAAGATAAGATAGAGGGGACTGATTAGAATTTTTATGGGGGAGATAAAACTTGAGTTTAAATCATTCAAGAATATGGTGAGTTCTTGGGGACAAATATGTAGAAAAGTATGCTCTGGGAAGGAATAGGTCGGCGAGGATTGGGTGGAAACTACTCCTTATTTTGTTTTTAATGTCCAAAGTCATGTATTTAGAAATGCAAATGAAGAAAGTTGTTTTCCATGTAAAAGATCACAAGCCATCAAATTGATGATTTTTCATTTTAAGTAACACATGGCATGAATAATTTCTTTATTAACTTCCAATCACTTTAAGCTAATTTCTTACAGTATGGCAATGGCAACCTCATAACCCCAAAGAAACTTAAACCTTATAGCATATTGAAAATGACTTTTACGTTTTATTGAACAAAAGGATCACTTAAAGCAGAATCACAATGTCCATGGAATACATTAAAACACAGGCTCACATTGGCTGGTACATACTCATTGTTAATAGAATCAGAATAAACACATATCAATACCAAACTATGCAATAAAACCTGCATTATTTATCTACAGAATGGTAATAGAGCTATTACCCGATTTACTTATTCTTTTTTTAAAAAAATATTGCTGAGGCCAGGGGCGGTGGCTCACGCCTGTAATCCCAGCACTTTGGGAGGCTGAGGCAGGTGGATCATGAAGTCAAGAGATCGAGACCATCCTTGCTAACACAGTGAAACCCCGCCTCTACTAAAAATACAAAAAATTAGCCGAGAGTGGTGGCGGGCACCTGTAGTCCCAGCTACTTGGGAGGCTGAGGCAGGAGAATGGCGTGAACCAGGGAGGCAGAACTTGCAGTGAGCCGAGATTGCGCCACTGCAGTCTAGCCTGGGCGACAGAGCAAGACTTTTTTTTTTCAAAAAAAAAAAAGGTATATATGTGTATACGTGTGTGTATATATATATATATATATAGCTGAGTGGCAAATGTACAGCATGTGGATATGAGTTAGGTGTGTTGAAATATCGCAGCAGCAGACAGTACATTTTGGAGACTGTGACTGAATTAAATGAACTACAATAAGTATGTCTACTTTCATTACATTCTCTACTTCTAGATCTGCTAGTACACACTTTTTTATGAGAGGAGTTAATATACCATTATTATTCATTGAAATAAATGAAGGACACATGTGTATGTCACTTTTCATTAACAAATTATTGTATATTATCTAGCTATATTTGGGAGAAAATATTTTTTAAATCTCCTAATTTTTCTTGCGTTTGATAAGCATTTGTTTTACCATATGGGAGACATTGTTCTAGGCATGGAAATTCATGCAGGACAGACAGATATTATTTCTGACCTGAATGGGAAGACTGACACATACCCCAAAATGAGGACATGCCAATTAGTAAAATAACTGTAAGTTGTAACATTATGCAGGGCCTAGTATATGTGAGGGGGATTTGGGCTTTAGTCTGAATATGATGGGTAGGTTTTGTAAAGTTCTGGGCAAGGGGGTATTGAGTCCAGCTACAGATTAAAGACTATAATTTTGCTATCTGGTAAAGAATAGATTGGGCAGAATAGAATAGCCAGTAAGTGCAACCCAAGAGGCTCAACATCATTAGTCATTAGAGAATGCACATCGAAACTATAATGAGATACCACAGTGAGATATCACTTCACACCCACTAGGAAGACTGTAATCAAAATGACACATATAGTAAGTGTTGGCAAGGGCATGGAGGAATTGCTAGTGAGAATGTAAAATAGTGCAGCCGCTTTGGAAAACAGGCAATTCATCAAAACGGTAAACATAGAGTTAACCATATGACCTACCAATTCTACTCCTATGTATATACCCAGGACAATTAAACACTTGCACATGAATGCTAATAGCAGCATTATTCAAAGTAGCTTAAAAGTAGAAGTAAACTAAATGTTTATCAGCTGATAAATGGATAGATAAAATGTGGTATATCTACACAATGGAATATTATTCAGTCATAAAAAGGAATGAAGTTCTGATATATATCACAACTTAGATGAACCTTAAAGATATTATGCTAACTAAAATAAGCCAATCAGGAAAGACCACATAGTACAGGACTCCTTTTATATGAAATGTCCAGAATATGCAAATCCATAGAAACAAAAGGTTGATTAGAGTTTGTCAGGGGTTTGGGGGTGGGGATGAGGGATGACTGATAATGGTTATGGGTTTTTTGGGGGGAGCAATGACAGTGCTCTGGAATTAGTGTTGATGGTTGCAAAACTCTACAAATATACTAAAATGAATCATATATTCAAGTGGATGAATTCTATGGTATGTGAATTGTGTCTAATTACAGATGTTGAGAAAAAGAGAAAGATGAATGAAAGGGGAGACTAATGAGAACATGTGTTACGTGATTACCCTCTCTTCTTGCTACCAGTTAGAATGGGCCAGGCCATGGAACTACTCTTGGGGAATGAGTGTGCCAAATATATAAGTGCTAGCAGTGAGAATTCCTTCCATGTCTCCTTCTGTACCTCTCCTTCAGTCCCACAAAATGACCTGCCATTTCTCTGAGTGAGCCATGCACTTTCTTTCTACTTACCTTTGCTGAGGTGTGACTATGCTTTCTTTTCTTTCTCTCTCTACTAGGAAAAAAAATTCACGTGTTCTACAAGCTTAGTTCATATTCCTCCTTGAAACTCTCCTTGGTTGCCTGGCCCTATAATATATCATTCTCATTTTCTGTAAGCCCTTGACATGTGGCTTGTGCCTCTGCAAGATCTCAGCCACATAGCATTTCAAAGACTCGCTTTGAATTCTCTTTCTCTATCTCCTTCTCTCCCTTCCTCCCTTTTATCTTTCTCGCTTTCCTTTCTCTCTTTTTCTCCAACTCCTATCTCTGTCTCCATCCACTCATTTTTCACAACCAAAAGGAGTTTCTTTGCCACTTTAAAGTCCCTACACTTTTCTCCTGTTATCCAGTATCCATAGTTCTGTTCACCATTGGTTTCCTAAGTAAGGGTATATGTATAACAGACATTCATTCTTCTTACAGAGGTTCGCCTTATTCTCGTTACAACAATTCTCTTCCTCCTTACAGAACTTAAGTTTTGTTGGAGATTTTCAGCAGGATATAATGAGTAAATTTTTCATAATCCATTCAACAAAAGTTTTCAGTAAGTATTTATGGAGCACTTACGACATGCCAGGCACTAGTTCCCAGGAATACAGCTGGGAAGAAAACAGTCCAAGGACTCTGATAATATATAAGATCAGAGCATGACAAATGCACTGCAAAGACTTATATTGGGTAATGTGCGATAGGATGAGTGAGAGGCAGCTTAAATTTGGGTGGGCAGGCAAGGATGGTGAGGAGGTGGCATTCGAACGTGATCTGAATGACAAGGAGGAGCACAAAAGCATTTTTGGTAGAGAGAACAGCTCAGGAATAGCCTAGTGTCAGAAGGCACTTGGAATGTTCAATGAACTGCATAATGTTTAGCATAACTGTAATTTGGTACGCAAAGGAGAGAGAGAGGCATAGGCACAGTTGAAGAGTTAGGCAGCGGCTAGATCTTATGTTTGAATGTTGGGGTAAGGCATTGAGATTGCTTTTAACTGCAAGGGGACACCATAGGAAATTTGACACATGCACCAGTCTTTAAGTGGGTTGGAGTTTAGAGATTTCATGTGTTTATATTTATTTTTTGCCTATAAAGAAAGTAACACACCAGTCCAGAATATGAAAAAAAAAAAAAAAAGTGGAGAAATGGGCAAGAGGAGAAATGAAGCTGTTTACTCTACTTGAGCATCCAAAATGAAATACACAAAATATTGATCTCCAAGTGAACAAAAGATAACCCCTAGGGATGCTATTGCCAGAGGTGGCACAATAAGTATTGTGGATTTCATGTATTTGCATAGTTCGATTCCAGTTCAAAGACAACAGGAAAGGATTCTTTTTTAAATCAGGGAGAGTTTTAAAAGCCTTTCCATTGCCACACAGAAGAGAATGTACATCTTTTTTTTTTGATTTTTTTATATGGTATCTCACTCTGTCTGCAGGCTGGAGTGCAGTGGCGTGATATTTGCTCACTGCAACCTCCACCTCCTGGGTTCAAGCGATTCTCCTGTCTCAGCCTCCCGAGTAGCTGGGACTACAGGTGTGCACCACCATGCCCAGCTAATTTTTGTATTTTTAGTAGAGACAAGGTCTCACCATGTTGGCCGGGATGTTCTCAATGTCCTGACCTTGTGATCCACCTGCCTCGGCCTTCCAAAGAGCTGGGATTATAGGCGTGAGTCACCACGCCCGGCTGAGAATGTATATCTTATAGGGGAACCGATGAGAGATCCTATTGCTTAGAGAGACAAAGAACTGTAGCATCACATATTTC